TTGCAGCTTCCAGCCAGTTATAATCATTTGCAATCGCATTACGCTGGCGATCGATGAACAAACCCCCGGCATCGGAGGTTAACCTTATCAAAAAGATCTTGTCCTCCAAGGTCATTCCCGGACATGTCTGAAAATGATGCCGGAGGTCACTCAGGTACATGTCAACCGGGTATGAATTACCTGGTCAAGGGTTGAATCTCTTGACACTACGGGACATCCCGTAGATGTCAGCCATAGACACAGGTGAGTTCGGTTGGGCTGGCTGGAAAGCTGGCACAACCATCGCAGCAGCACCGGGAGGTGCAGCAGGAGGGTATTGTTGTGCAGCCAGAGGGTGTGGCTGGGCTGCAGGCACATATGGATGCGCTGCAGGTGGGAATTGATAAGCTTGAGGTGGATATTGATTAGCTGGAGGTGGATAAATATGGCCTGGCTGAGGAGCCAGATGGGCTAGCTGAGGAGCTAGCGCTGGCTGAGGAGCCAGTCCCACCACAGCAGCAGCAGGTGCAACCCCTTTAGCAGCAATAGCAGCAGGTGGTGGAGGTGGAGGTGGTGGAGGAGATGGAGCAGTGGGTGGAGGAGGGGCTGGAGCAGGTGGTGTCGGGGGGAGTAAAGAGGTCTGCCTTTCTCCCCTGAGTACGGAAATCTCGGATTTTAAATCATCAATTTTATTCTCTTGTTTTCTTACCTGATCCACAGCAGCAGTGAGACTAACCGTCAGGTCATCTGCCTCCCTCTGAGCTTAAATTAGCTCATTATCTGCCCTGATTTTCTTCTCCAGCAACATTTCATTTTCTCTCGGAGCTTCATTCAGCTCTTTCCTGCCCAGATCCTCGTCAGAGTCGGAACCGCAGGCTTCTTCTCTTGTCTTTTGTTCAGAAAGTGTGTGCGTAGTACTTTGTGTCTCCAGATGAGCAGTAACCTCTGTCCCAGAGATGAGCTAGCAGAACAGCAAATCCCACCAGGTTCTCTGTGTGGGCTGTTGGTTTTACCTTCTCACCTTCTATGGACCAATTATTCACGTGTGCCAGCAACATACCTACCAGATCATCTGCTGAATAATTCTGCAGGGGGTCACCAAAACAATGAGCAGTCATGCTGGTAACACCTACACATACTGTCACAGCATCAATAATCTGTCTGCCCACAGTGGGAGAACACAATTGTTCCTGATTTAACATAATTCAAATCACAAGTGAGTTTTACCAAAAAGAAGTGTAATATACAAAAGGTGCCACGAGATGGCGGCAGAGTGCCGGCAATAGTGAGGGCGGGGGTAACTTGCATCACCTGTGACGTCACGACGTTGCTGGCGTCAGGATTTCCTAAAAATGACTGATCAACTAGATTGTTTTCACAACACAAATGTCAGAAAACACAGCTAAAATGTGCTTGAATGCTGTCGGAGCTTGTCTCGTAGGAAATAGCGAATTTGGGACACAGACAATGCTGTGTCAGGCGGTTGACAAAGCTGTCGGGTTTGCGAGGCCCGGCTGTCGAACCAAAGCAAGAGTTAGCAGCTTGGCTGTGCTAAGCTAGTGGGACCTGGAGCTACCAGGATTTTGGTCCAATTCTCTCGTAGAATTGACCTGCCCGATTAACGATGGACCTGCGTTGAAGCGCTCGTGTTAATTTGTCTGACAAATAGTGTTTAATGTGGTCCGAAACTCGCACGCTATTACGTTTAAAGCTTTTAAAGACTGTTAGCACTTCGATGCTAAGTCAAGCTAATGGGGGTGGCGTACCACCTTGAGTCGGCTAAGCGTACTCCTTCAGGTCTAAACCTGGCTAACCCCTGTGTAAATACGGATCTCGTCCGGTATTTGGGTTCGAATCGGTTTCACAGGGGATCAGGCCAGAACCGGGTAGCAAGGACCCTAACCCTACCATGGAGAAGCCTAACCCTAACCCTACCATGGAGAAGCTTCTGCCTCCAGTTACACAAGTAAAACACAATGAACACCACTTCACTCAAAAGACGTGACAGAATCACAACAGATTAAATGACATGAATTTACCTTATAAATGACAGCAGGAAAAACCTGTGCAGATAAAGCTTTGTAGTTATAAAACTCCAATGGCGGAGCACTAGTGATGGCTCAGCCATTGGGTGAAAGAGAGGAATCAGCACGCCCTGTCGGAGGTGACTGGTGTCACCCCCCCTTTCTAGACATAAATGACTGCTCTCTAGTGGCGGATGACGAGATCGTCCAGTCTCCCACAAAACACCAATTTTTGATGGAACTAACTAAACTAGTCTTGGAAAGCTTCCAGGTCACGACAGGTTCATTGGTGTCAGTGAGACCCTGAAGGGGTCGTGAGGTTCAGCTTTTATTCTGAAGGAACCGTTGCGGTCAGGTGTAACTTGCAACAGATTTTATCCAGCTTGTCGAGGTTCTTTTGGCCGAAGAGGTAGTCCGGATGGCCTGTCTGAGATTTCTCTAGAACGCTTTGAACTGAAGAAAAGGTGGCGAGGAATAGTCTTTATGATCATCATATTTTAGGTTACTGGCGAATCAGAATGTGACATGCAAAAGAGGGTTTATACAAGCACCACAGAAAACCACACCTCGTGTCAGAAATGAAGGTTCTGATTGGATCAGACAAAAGGAAATGTGTCGTGTGACTTTAGCATTACGTGTCATCAGTGTCTAGTGCAAATATCCAGGATTATAATAACTTGTAAAATACTACTGACCACAGGATTACAATATCAAGTAATAACATTGTTATTTCACAGATTGATTGAACATCGAAATTTGAAAGGTTAAACAGCTGGCATTTGAATGAGAATAGTTTAACGGGTACATTTTTACAATTGGCTGAACTGTGAATTTAGAAATATTTGCTGATATCTGAAACTGATAGATGAACATATGTTCAGATTTGATATGGGATGGATGAATGGTTGGATGAATGAAATAACGGATGGATTGTTGGATGGATTGTTGGATGGATGTTGGATGGATGGATGGATGGATGGATGGATGTTGGATGGATGGATGTTGGATGGATGGATGGATGGATGGATGGATGGATGGATGGATTGATAGAAGCATGGATGGATTTAAATGTAGATGGATGGATTCCTTAGGCCAAGCCAATCGATTTGATGTCTCACATGCGTGGGTGTGTAATTCCATTTAGCCAGAAGATGATTGACCTCTCTCAACCAATCAGGGAGCTGGGAGGGAGCGGGGCACTTTCGCAAATTCTGACGGTCAATCAAATTGAACTTATTTCTATTTTAATGTACAAACAGTTCAAAAAGATCAAAAACAGGTGTCTGTTCATGGCTCAATTTTCAGCTTTTTATATTCATTCCTATGAGACTTGGTTAAAGTGATTTGTAGTTCCTTGTGTTGCCATGGTAACAGATAACAGGAGTCTGCATTGATAAAGCTATGTACAATAACACATGACTCATTTAAACTTTGAATAACATTTCTATATTAAAGTATGTTGATACAGTTGTGTCTAAAATGTTGTTTAATGTTGTTGCTAAGCATGTTGCCATGGTAACGCAGAACACAATATCAAGTTCATACAAGACTCCTGGGACCAAGCAGGTTGAATTGATGTACCATATGTGTGGGTGCACATTTCCTTTTAGGCTGAAGACGATTGAAAACTCTCAGCCAATGAGAGAGCAGCGAAGGAGGAGGGGGCGGTTCCTGCCTTCTGACTAGTATTAAAATGTCAGCTATGCTGCTAGTTTTAAGTGTAGAAGTGTATAGAGCTAGCTGGCTGGCTGAATGCTTAACAGCATTCAAACAACTAGAGCAGAAAGCACAATAAAGAAATCAGCCATAACAGACCCCTGCACAAGGGAAATCCATATAACGGACTGGGACAACACAAGGATCATAACCACCAAACAACAGAAATATCAAAGATGGACTAAGAAAGCCATAGAAAGAAAAAATGCATACACCACAAATGCTCTAAAATTAGCCGGTATTCCATTACCTACATTAGCCAGTCTTGCTAGCAAAGGGGGTTAAAAAAAAAGGTAAAAATGGTAAATGGCCTGTATTTGATATAGCACCTTCTAGAGTCCTGGAACCCCCCAAGGCGCTTTACAACACAATCAGTCATTCACCCATTCACACACACATTCACACACTGGTGGGGATGAGCTACGATGTAGCCACAGCTGCCCTGGGGCGCACTGACAGAGGTGAGGCTGCTAAGCACTGGCGCCACCGGTCCCTCCGACCACCACCAGCAGGCAACGTGGGTTAAGTGTCTTGCTCAAGGACACAGCGACAGACTGAGCGGGGCTCGAACCTGCAACCTTCCGATAACGGGGCGACCACTTAACTCCTGTGCCACCGTCACCCAAAAAAAGGCCGGCCTCCCATAGTGGCCGGCTTTCTAGGGGTGGTGTTAGTGGTCAAAGTGAAAAATCAGTCTGAAGAGAAAGATAGATGCATTCTGGTCGTGGATTATATAACATCCCTCTTGTTGAAATTAGAAAGTTTTCATCCTGTTTCAGTTTGGTGCATTGATGAACTGATAGATTATCTTTACTTTATTTTAAGTTCTGCTATAAAATCATCAGAGACGTTGATTCACATTCAACAAAAACAAATCAAAACCATTGATGAAACATTTGTTGCTGAACTGTGCAAATCAAATCCTCTAAACTCAGCAATCAGTATTGGTGGTCCTCTGTCTTCATTATGCAGGACACCAGAGTATTCTAGAAAAAACTTTGAAGTATTGAGTCTCTTGAGTGCGTCCCTGAACCAAAAGAGCAAAAAACCTTCTCTGAATCTAGATGACCTAATGAATTATAGACCTATATCTAATCTTTCATTTTCATCTAGTCCTTGAGAAAACAGTTGCCAATTAAGTATGTGAGCATCTAAACACTAATGACCTTTTGCTGCCATTTCACCTCATGGCCTATCAGAATTCCCTTAACTAATGTGTTTTGATGGCAACCAGAAATCTGCAGATTTTAATGAGTCACTTCTCCAGGTCAATTTTCTCACCTTGACAGTCTGGTCCAATGATGAGGAGGCAATTCTGGCCTGAGCTCCCATTCGACCACAGTGCAGGTCTGTGATTGGTAAAGAGTGATGGGAAAGGACATGACGAGGCTCGGGGGTATTGCTTAAATCCATCTGGGTGACACTGAAACACAAGGAAAACAGGTGTAAGACACCCAATCAGGTTATACAAGAAACCAATGTTGTTGTTATGACTGAAATAAAACATCTAGATCAACAGTGAGGAACCCTGGTCCTTGAGGGCCAAAATCCAGCATGTTTTAGTTGTTTCCCTGCTCCAACATTGCTGATTCAGTGGTTGAATCACCTATTTAGCAGTTCATCAAGCTCTGCAGAAGCCTGTTAAACATATGCTGATTAAAATGACCACACTACTATAGCATACTAATTTATTTATAAAGCAGGTTTTAAAGATAGCATGGCAGCTAACCAAAGTGCTGTACAAAAAAGACAAAGGCTTGGACACAAACAACAGAAACATAGTGGAAAACTGCTAAATTTGCTAGAACGCATAAAAGGCACATCATAAATAATCAAGCATAAAACACATACTAAAAATAACAGTCGAAGAGAACAAATAATGGTAAATGGCCTGTAGGGTTCTACAACCACCCAATGCGCTTCAAAGCACAATCAGTCATTCATCCATTCACACGCTGGTGGGGATGAGCTACGATGTAGCCACAGCTTCCCTGGGGCGCGCTGACAGAGGCAAAGTAAAATGAGTAAAAGCACTATCCAAAGTAATTAAGGAAATAAAATTATTAAAAGCAGTTAAATTGCACAAATAAAACCAAAAGGGCCAGACATTTCTGCATAGAAGATACCTCCCAGGTGACTGATGGAAGCTGATGGAGCCAATTTTGCATCTGATGCAGCTTACAGGTTTGCAAAGAAGGTTTGACCTTGAAAGATGGTTCAAAGCCTACTGACCCAGGTTGGCTGGCCCGAGTCAGATGTCAGAACGTAACAATTCAGGAAGTGAATTATTTTTTATAAACGTGTCGTTTACAAATTTTGTTAAATCAGTTTAACAAGTTTAATATGGGCGTTACCAAAAGACACCACTCCTTTCTCAATAGGGATGGGAATCAAAAACCGGTTCTTGTTGAGAACCACTTCCGACTGTCTCAATTCCTTGGAATCATTTGCCTTTTTTTTTTTTACAAACGATTCCCTTTTTGATTCCAGTCGGAATGAATGGCACAACGTTGCGCAGCTTGCGTAAGCTACGTAATGTCTGTGGCATAATTTAACAGCAACAAATATGGCGCCTAAGCAGCACAAACGCTCTAAAGTTTGGGTACATTTTACAAGAAAGGACAACAATAGAGCAACTTGCAATAGTTGCAAAGTTTATATCTCATCAAAAGGAGGAAATACCTCAAACATGCAAAAGCATTTGCACAGAAAACGCGATATCTTTAACGCCAGGGTTTCCTATTTCTCCAACCTGGTGTCCCAGAGCAAAGGGAACCCCAAGGTGCTGTTTAACACCATCAGCAGCATCGTCTCTCCTGCCTCTCCTACAGCCTCCATCCACTCTGTTGCAGACTGTGAGAACTTTCTGTCTTTCTTTGTGGACAAAGTCAATAAGGTTAGATCTAGCATCTCTCCTTCAGCCTTATCGCCGCCTCTCCCGACTCCAACCAGGCCCATCATCCTAGATAGCATTGCTACTGTTTCTTTGCCTGAGTTAACCAAACTAGTTAACTCTATGAAGACCTCTGCATGCCCCCTCCACATCTTACCCTCATCTTTGTTTAAAAGTGCTTTTCAGTCCATCGGTCCCAGCGTGCTCTCTATAATTAATGCTTCTCTGGTCTCTGGTCAGGTCCCTGCTTACTTTAAGAACGCTGTAATCCACCCGCTTCTTAAAAAACCGAGTCTTGACCCCTCTCTCCATAGCAGCTTCAGACCCATCTCTAAACTTCCGTTCATCTCCAAGATCTTGGAAAAGGTTGTGGCTAAACAACTCACAGCTGCTCTTGATGAACATAACATCTATGATAGCTTCCAGTCAGGTTTTCGTAGAGCTCATTCTACTGAAACAGCTCTTCTTAGGGTCTCTAATGACCTTCTGACTCACAGTGATGCAGGGTTCTGGTTCTGGTCCTGCTGGACCTGACTGCAGCCTTTGACACTGTTGACCATCACCTGCTACTGGAGAGGCTGAGAGACTGGGTAGGCCTATCAGGATCTGCTCTGGAGTGGTTCTCCTCTTATCTCTCTGAGCGCTCCTTTTCTGTGGCCGTCTCCAAGTTTAGGTCCTCCACCACCTCTCTTACCCATGGTGTCCCACAAGGTTCTGTGCTGGGGCCTCTGCTCTTCCTCCTCTATCTGCTTCCTCTTCAGCACATCCTGAGCTCCTTCAAAGGAATCTCCTACCATCTTTATGCAGATGACATCCAACTGTACATCTCCTTTAAGCCCCATGAGATGTCTAAGCTGCAGCTGTTACACACCTGCTTAGACTCTATCAAAACCTGGATGGTGGGAGCTTTCTTCAGCTGAATGAAGATAAGACTGAGATCCTCATCTGTGCCCCAGACAAGCTGGTTCCCAAAGTCAGAGACTCTCTTGGTCAGCTTGCTTCTCACACCAAACCTTCCATCAGGAATCTTGGTGTGACCTTTGACCCAGCTCTCACCCTGGATTTTCATGTCAGTTCTCTTGCTTGCTTTTCCTTCTTCCATCTCAGGAATGTTGCTAAGCTGAGTCCCATTCTGTCCCTAGGATACAAGATCGAGGATACAAGCAGCCGAAATGCAGGGTTTCCCTTACATAGGCGTAGCCATGGCGGCCCGCCACAGCTGAAATCCCACCGCCACGCCTACAAGATCCCAAGTTTGTTTTTTTTTTGCGCCGTTTCCCGAAGAAGCAGGGGGAACTACTATGTTGTTGCTTGTGATCACAGCTGGCAGGCAGCAAGGAGGAGCAGGCAGGGCAGGGAGAAGTTACAGCATAAGTTACTGAGTTTAAAATTAGAAAGGTAGCAGTGGATATAATGCTTTCAGGTTTACATGTTTCAATAGCACCACCCTACATATTTGAGTTACTCCTTATGTGCCAGGCAGGACTCTCCGTTCAGGTGACCTACACCTACTACAGATTCCCCGCCAACGCTGCAAAACCCGTGGTGAACGAGCTTTTTCTGTCTGCGCTCCAAAACTCTGGAATGATCTCCCACTGAATATCAGAAACTCCTCCTCCATTGGGGTTTTTAAGTCTCACTTAAAGACTTAGTTTTATTCTCTTGCTTTTACTACCTAGCTATTTTATCGATGGTTTATTTACACTGTTCTTTTACTGATTTTATTGACTTCTCATGGTTCTTTGTGTTTTGCTCTAGTTGTTTTATTCTTTTATATTATTCTTTTAACCCTATATGTTTTTACCCCTGTACAGCACTTTGGTCAGCTCACATGCTGTTTTTAAATGTGCTTTATCAAATAAATGGAATGGAATGGAATGGAATAGCATTAAGATAAACGAGTGTTGACGATCTTGACAGGGTTTCCTCCAGTGCTTATTAGGCCAGGTTCTCCTCCCCCCACCAGGCTAAGCATCACTTATTCATGTAAAATTTATTTATTTTTTCATGTCTGACTTTAACAGCATCTAATACTGTATTACGGTGTGAGCGCAACAGCGACAACTTAAGATCGATGTGTGAGCAGCCTGAGAGGTCGGGTGTTTCATCTGAACCCTTAAAACCTCCAGCAGGCTACGCTGCACTATTGACGTGTTAGCGTGCAGCGCTAACAACTTAGCGACGTGACATGTCTCGGAGAAAGCGTAAAAACACGTTGGACGCTTCTTCTGAAGCAGGAAAATAACACCTCTTCTTAAGCAGAGCACGACGTCGCCTCGGCTCGTTCACGGCCGAGCTGGACTGAGCTCGATAACTGACCCAACACAGCCACTGGGTCGTTGGAGCTGCCCCGTGACTGCCTGATGGAAAACCAGCGGGTTTCATCAGACTCGTAAAGTTTCCTGTTTTTGCTGGGGACCCCCTGTATTTTACCGCTCCCTCCTGCAGCCTTCCCCTATTAAAATTTAAAATGATTCTGTAAATCCATGTATCAATAGAAAAAAATCTCAGCCTCTGCCAGCTGCAGTAAATGTAGTCTCCAAATAATAAATAAGAGGTGCATTCATCTGTGGATCTCCTTTGATCCACATTAGTGATATTCTCAGCACCAGAACAGTGAAGCAAAGAAAGATTCCTGAGTTTGTTAGTAATTTTATTTATTAGGTGCATCTAACCTGTTCTATTTTTCTCTGAAATGAGACCAAATCAGTGCTTCTATGGGTCGTCTCCAATCTGCACTGGAAAATTTTACTTTATTTAGAGACGTGTCATAGTTTTAAGGTTGCTGTAATCAAACCTTCACTTAAGAAGCCTTCTCTGGATCCAGATGACCCAATGAATTATAGACCAATATCTAACCTTCCATTTTTATCCAAAGTCATGGAGAAAATAGTGGCCATCCAAGTATGTGAGCATTTAAACACTAATGCTCTGTTTGAGGAATTTCAGTCTGGTTTTAGAGAGTATCACAGCACTGAAACTGCATTAGTGAGAGTTACAAATGATATTCTCATGGCCTCAGATAAGAATCTTGTGTCTGTTCTAGTCTTGTTAGATCTCAGTGCTGCCTTTGACACAGTTGATCACAATGTTCTTTTAGAAAGACTTGAACATGTTGTAGGGATCAAAGGAACAGCGTTAGGCTGGTTTAAATCCTACCTGTCTGACAGATTTCATTTTGTAAATGTACATGACAAATCATCTTCATACTCCAGGGTTACTTGTGGAGTACCACAGGGTTCAGTGCTTGAACCAATTATTTTACTATGTATATGCTCCCAATTGGTAAAATCATTAGACAGCATGGGATAAACTTCCACTGTTATGCTGACGATACTCAGTTATATTTATCCATTAACCCTGATGAACCTAATCAGTTGGGTAGATTACAGGCTTGTCTTGAGGACATAAAAAATTGGATGACTCTAAACTTCTTGCTTTTAAATCAAGACAAGACGGAAGTTCTCATCTTTGGACCAGAAATCCAGAAAAGGAAATTGCTTAGCCAATCATCTGACCTTAATGGCATTACATTAATCTCCGCGAACAAAGTAAGGAACCTTGGTGTTATCTTTGACCAGGACATGTCATTCAAATCCCAGGTTAAACAGGTTTGTAGGATTTCCTTTTTCCACCTTCGGAATATTGCTAAGATTAGAAGCATACTTTCCAGGAGTGATGCTGAAAAACTAGTTCATGCATTTATTACATCAAGACTGGATTACTGTAATCCATTACTCTCAAGAAGTCCACAGAATGTAGTTAAAAGTCTTCAGCTTGTCCAAAATGCTGCAGCTAGAGTTCTGATGAGAATTAAAAAGAGAGATCATATATCTCCTGTCTTAGCTTCCCTACATTGGCTACCTGTTAAATTCAGAAAATATTTATGAAATTTGCATATTCCACACTCTGCTTTTTAATTGTAGTTAAAATGTGTCCAAATCTTGGTGCCAGTCCTGTTTTCACTCATTTCCTCACCTTTCTGCAGCTATTTGTATTTCTATTGTCCTCGAATACAGATTTGTCTCAACCAATATTTACAGGTCCCATCATGCTACTGTAGTAATTGTCCCAGGCCACCCCTCTCCCTGCTCCCCCCCACTGGTCTCACTACAATCACAGGCATATTACGCGTGTTCATGTGCACACATTTTGCAGTTTTTGAGTAGCTCGGGGGCCTGTGGGTACAGTCTGTGTCACTCACTGCAGCTATCGGTCACATCAACAACGCAGCTCCAAGAGCCATTTCATTCCTGACTGACATATCACTTGTTTTAACTTCGTTGACAACGACCTTCTGGAAAGAATCCAACATACACCTATGACACATGTTCTATGTGAGTCATACAAACAGAAGGGGTTACCTGCACAAGCTCCACACCAATGCCAGGTTGTCTTTCCCCGCAGAAACCAAATGGCTGCCGTCATCTGTGAACTTTAAACATGTGATGTCCTGGTAATGTCGACTGAGCACACACAGCAGCTTACCTGTGCACACCTAACCCAATGAGAGGACAGACTTTACAAATTGTTACCATGGAAACCAGAGGCCAAACCAATTGAGAAACCAAAAATGACAGAAAACTCACCTCCCACAGGTAAACAGCCTCTGCCACTCCAACAGCAAGAAAGGCTCCATCAGGTGAGGCAGTCAGACATGTGACCACACCTGGACAAACTATCTTCTGCTGCAGCTGATCCTGGACAAACATACATGAGGCTATCACAGCTGCAGCTCTAAGTGCTGAGAATGTTTACCACATTGATCAACCTGATTTAGATTCAAAAATCTAGACTGATGTCTCCTCACGTGGTTTACTGTAGAAGGCTTAATTAACAGCGGGGCTATCACAATATCCGCAAAAATGAAATATCGCAATATTAAGAAACCCACCACGCTGAATGATGGACCAACGCTATTATTGCACGCGATTCGACTTGACGACGCATGTTGAGGATGGCTGCACTGGTCAAAACGAAATGTTACTCTGCCCCTTTGGAAGCATTTTGGCTTTTAGTACATCAGCCCCTGCCCAGCCAGAGTCCTTGGCGGAGACAAAGCTGCCACCAGCGGCAAAAATTTTAAAAAGTTCAAAAATAAATAAACGCTCAGAGACCTGCTGAAGTCACGGACAAGCACTGCTTCTGCAACCGTCCCGAAGAGACTTAGAGCCGAGCTGGAGCGCACTCGCTACCTGCAGGAGGAACCTATCGACCCTAAGGAAAGCCCCTGACATGGTGGCGCAACAACCAGCAGAGATTTCCTTCGCTCTTCTGAGTTGCACACAAGTACATGTGTACTTCAGAATCAGAATCAGAATCAGAAAAGGTTTATTGCCATTGTTAGTGAACAAACGATTCACAAACTAGGAACTTGCTTCGGTACTAACGTGCTACATATGACATGAATAATATAATGAAAAAATAGAATAGAGTAGAATAAAGTAGAATAAAATATAATAACTAGCATAAAACTTTGCTATAAAAAATGGCAGGTAAAGGTAATATGGCCGATAACGTAACGTTATGTCAAGTACCGAAGACGAGCATGGTTGTGTGTTTATAAGCTGTTCACAAGTCTAACGGCAGATGGAAAGTCGTCTTGTGTAACGAGCACACCATCCCAGAGGGTTTTCAGTGTTGCTGGACATTGGAGATGAGCGAGTACACAACTATCTGTATCTGTATCTGTTCAACCATCTAAATTATCTGTATCTGTACCCGGAAGTGGGTGTGGTTTACGTCAATATATTATTTTAAGTCTGAAATTGATATGGATTGATCAGAAGTTGACATGTGTATTGTTTATTTGAAAATTATTTACAGAGCAGCCTCAGAATTGAGATTAAATATTTTTGATCACAATAGTAAAGAAACTATTATTCTAAATAAATAAATAAATCTATATACAGTGGGGCAAAAAAGTATTTAGTCAGCCACCGATTGTGCAAGTTCTCCCACTTAAAATGATGACAGAGGTCAGTAATTTACATCATAGGTACACTTCAACTGTGAGAGACAGAATGTGGAAAAAAATCCATGAATTCACATGGCAGGATTTTTAAAGAATTTATTTGTAAATCAGGGTGGAAAATAAGTATTTGGTCAATAACAAGAATTCAACTCAATACTTTGTAATATAACCTTTGTTGGCAATAACAGAGGTCAATCGATTACTATAGGTCAGGGGTGTCAAACTCAAACTCACACGGGGCCGAAATGAAACTCTGGGACGGAGTCGAGGGCCAAACTTAATATTTTTTGAAAAAGTGATGGCAAATTTGCACATTTTCTTTATCATCATATATGCAATTTAGAACCTTTAAATTTGGAAACAAACATATTTCTGCATAACACTGAATGTGGAATAACCAAATTACACACGAGCAAGTCGGTTTTAAATAAAAGGCATCAGTGGTATTCATTACTTGTGGTATAATCAGCATTTTTAAAATCTATTTAGGATTTATGTTTTCTTGTTTATTCATTTTTCTTATTTTTTATTCTCCTTTTTTCTCCTGTAATACGTGTCATCGCTGCTGTGACATCTAGCTTTCCCCACTGAGGAACAATAAAGGGATTTTCTATTCTATTCATCTATCTGCAGCCTTTCCACTTCCTGTTTACTGTAGGTTAAATCTTTTCTCACGGGCCAACAACAAAATAAAAATATCATTTTATCTTAAATGAAAATGCAACATCTCACCTGTTAACTTTCATGTTTTGGAGCAGAAAAAGAGCAGAAAACCAACATATTTAAAGCTCAGTTTGCTCCACTGGTTTACTGTGATGCTCACCTGTTCCAGCCAGATACCTGCATCATGGGGTTGATCTGAGCTGAGGAGGAGACTCCTGTTGTTTTGTTCATCTTCATCATAATAATGACAACATTAGATGACAACAGGTGCTCACATAGGTTTGTGCTGATGAACATGTCTGAGCAGCTTGACCACGTTGTTGTGTGTCGGGGAGGAAACACAACGACAGCAGCCACAGAGTCGTGCTGGTTTGAGCGTGTCGCTGCTCGCTGGAGTTATATCAGCTCTGTCTGGACGTTAGTTGGAAAACTTTCTCTTTCAGTCGTGAACACATTACTGAGCGGCTAGAATCTCCGTGTCTGGGCTTCAACGTCAGAAAACAGCTGAGTGAACTCGGCGCTGAGTGAAAGGAGTGTAGTTCGTCCGAGACAGCGGAGCTGCAGACACCCAACTACCCCTGACTGTCTCGGCGCTGAAAAAACACAAAGGAGGGGGCGCGTCTGCTCCGCGCTGGCGCCGCAAAGCATCATGGGAGTTGTAGTCTTTGCGGTAAAATCGGCCAGCGGGCCAGTTTTAATATATTTTTGATATTTATCTCGCGGGCCACATAAAAATGCTCCGCGGGCCGCACCTGGCCTTGACTCTGACATATGTGCTATAGGTCTTTACCAGGTTTGCACACACAGTAGCTGGCATTTTGGTGGTGGGAACAAAGCATGATGTTCCCACCCCCATGCTTCACAGTAGGTATGGTGTTCTTGGGATGCAACTCAGTATTCTTCTTCCTCCAAACACGACGAGTTGAGTTTATACCAAAAAGTTCTACTTTGGTTTCATCTGACCACATGACATTCTCCCAGTCCTCTGCTGTATCATCCATGTGCTCTCTGGCAAACTTCAGACGGGCCTGGACATGCACTGGCTTCAGCAGCGGAACACGTCTGGCACTGCAGGATTTGATTCCCTGCCGTTGTAGTGTGTTACTGATGGTGACCTTTGTTACTGTGGTCCCAGCTCTCTGCAGGTCATTCACCAGGTCCCCCCGTGTGGTTCTGGGATTCTTGCTCACCGTTCTCATGATCATTTTGACCCCACGGGATGAGATCTTGCGTGGAGCCCCAGATCGAGGGAGATTATCAGTGGTCTTGTATGTCTTCCATTTTCTGAAAGTTGCTCCCACAGTTGATTTTTTCACACCAAGCTGCTTGCCTATTGTAGATTCACTCTTCCCAGTCTGGTGCAGGTCTACAATTCTTTTCCTGGTGTCCTTCGAAAGCTCTTTGGTCTTGGCCATAGTGGAGTTTGGAGTCTGACTGCTTGAGGCTGTGGACAGGTGTCTTTTATACAAATAATGAGTTCAAACAGGTGCCATTAATACAGGTAACGAGTGGAGGACAGAAGAGCTTCTTAAAGAAGACGTTACAGGTCTGTGAGAGCCAGAGATTTTCCTTGTTTGAAGTGACCAAAAACTTATTTTCCAGCCTGATTTACAAATAAACTCTATAAAAATCCTGCCATGTGAATTCATGGATTTTTTTTCACATTCTGTCTCTCACAGTTGAAGTGTACCTATGATGTAAATTACTGACCTCTGTCATCATTTTAAGTGGGAGAACTTGCACAAACGGTGGCTGACTAAATACTTTTTTGACCCACTGTATATATATATATATATATATATATATATATATATATATATATATATATATATGTATATACAGATAGATATAGATATCTATCTATCTATATATCTATCTATCTATCTATCTATCCATCTATCTATCTATATTAGGTCTGAAACGATTTCATTAATCGAGTACTCTAATAAATTACCCTTTTGTGTTTGTAAACCATTATATCAAACAGCATGTTATAATTATGAAAGACCTCTTAAAATGAGCAATTGCCAGTTATTCTTCAAGTTTTATTCAAAATTAAGTTTGCAAAACTTCAGCACTTCAACTTTACTTCACAGTAAACAAATGCCTGTGCAAAAAATAAGTAAACAACCTGAGCCGATTTTCCCCTCGTGCGAGAATCTGCTAGCCTGCAAGCCAGACAAAAACTAGGAGGATAACTGATGAAGTAGCGCTGCGAGCGGCTGCAGCCCAAACAGAACCAGAACCGCTCACGGCGCAAACAGCTCGCCCCTGTTTCCCTATTAACACACGTCCGTTTTAATTTCCACACTTTTTTTCTCACACAATAACAAGGATTGTCGAGAAAGCATGTTTGCTGTGGTTTTGGCAAATTATACTGATCACAAAACATTTATTTACTTTCTTTTGTTTTCCTCATAAATACCCATGTCCTCCTGCAGCGATCCCGTGGGAAAACAAACGTCAATAACAACACAATAAAAAGTCCGACGTTTTGTGTAAAAACTGCTATTTTTTAGCACATTTTAAGTCCGACGTGTTGCTACCAGACGTACGGTGTGAGCTGAAACTGAGCGCTACAAACGAAAAAGTCGCACAGTGTCCGCAGAATACATAGAAAAACAGGCTAAAAAGCATTATCTTGTAGAGGCTCCGAGTCCGCTTGCAGAAGTGACGTTTACAGGTGCTGCAGCAGCATGGAGGATGTGGTGTTGTGGTAGGCTTAATCCATTTTACAGTATTTACACTGGACTACGTTTTCCACCTAACGACGTGAAAAATGGTCCCACATCTTGACATTTTCTGTCTTTTTCGCACTCCACCGGGGGCCACGTTGTCCGCCATGGCTTAAGAGAAAGCTAAGTTACATTCACTACTCACGTGTGCATTGATTCAGCCCAGTGTGTATGTGCGTCACTTATTTCAGTCCGGGTGAAACATGACCCCGGGCGTTTGCAAAGCCATGAATTAATTAAATATGAATTAAACGAATCCTCGAGGAAGAGAATTTGACTCGAGGATTTTTGTACTCGAATTATTCGAGGTATTCGAGGAATCGTTTCA